AGGTAGGTTCAAGGCTCTTCCTGACACAGTGCCAGATGCAATTGAGAAGCTAAGCTAAGTGAATATGGACACCTGAGCTAGCACTTAAAGCAGCTGGCAGCATGGCCTGATGGACCTAAGCTGCGGGAGCCAACAGGCATCTGTAGGTGTAAGGGAGTGGGCTGTATGCTGTGCCCATCAGAAAAAATAAATAGGAGGAATTGTATATTTGAATATGGATGGACACAGAAAGGAAGAGTTTATTTAACACAGTTCTCAGTAACGCGAGAAGAAAACTGAGAGTGCATGAAAACAGGTGAAACAGGTAACTCCTGATGCTTGTTCCTACTATATTCAAGAAAACAAGATCGTCATTTTTTTTAAGCAGAATTTAAAGGTTTTGTTACGATGTATCTGTGACTTGTCCTTACAGAATCAACACTGCAAAAGCCTTGGTTTCTGAAGCCAAAGAAAAAAGTGTAAACGTCCCCCCCCCTTTCTCTTGATCTTTCTTTGCCTCTTCATTCACCTTAGAGCCCTCTACTCAGGCTCTATAAGCAGAGCTGCCTGTACCATTTGCTTTTACATAGCCATAAACAGTCCAGTGAAGGCATTTAAGAGCATATCTCAGCTTATTAATTTATCATTGTCTTTGAGTTGCCGGGGTTGTGTGCTTTCTTCATCCAGAACAATATGCCAATCTTGTGAGTTATAAAGTGCCGACACTTTACCTTAAGGTTGCTTTATTTGTTGGTTTTCTTGCAGTTGTAAACTTAATCAGTGAATTATGAGTGGATCAAGTAATTTCATTCTGTTCCAAACCAGTTCGGGCATCCTCTAGCTCAAAAATTCTTCCTTTCCACATTTCTATCAAGTACATAAAATCAAACTCAGCTAGTATCCATCATGAGACAGACAAGGAATCTTATCTCTTCCAGGCAGCTCCTGTTTGTTGCACTGCCTTTGTCTCCAGTGTACTCCTAAAGCTGTTTCTCATTTAGTAACTTGGGAAGAGATGCTCTTTTCTGCCCCAGCTGGATATTAATGAAAAAAATCTTATTTTAAGTTGCCGAAGGGGATTCCTCCACTTGCGAACCTCAAAGAGAATAATTAAACCCTGTGCAGGTTGGGAGTGCTTTGTCTTTGTGGAAAAGTATTGCTAAAGCTGGGGAGAGACTGAAGTGATAAGTAATTCGTGCCTCAGCAGTTCTCACTGGTCTCCCATGCTGTCACTGCTAGTGCAATAGTAATGGTGTTGGTCTAAAGATGGTTTGGGCATACGAGAGGCAATATTTGTGAGGAGAGATTTCATCTTTTTATTTACTGAAACTAAATAGCTTCCAAAAATGGATAGCTTCGGTGTACACAAGCCCTTCTTCAGGCACATATAAAAATTAAGGCCACTCGATGCTATCTTGGCTAGTAAACTAGGCAGACTGTTGTAAATCTTACTCAACCTAGCAGCCAAGGATGGTAATGAAAATGGAGTTGTACAGAAGACAATGAGGATTCTAGAGCAATGTTTAAAAGCTACTAAGGTAATTCTAACATAGATCCTGAAAGGTACCAGGACTGCCTGCAGTGTTGTCTATGAAGATGAGATACTTGGAAAATCATGGTCATGGAACAAAAGTATTCTGCAGGGCATACTTACCCTTCCAAATCCCTTACTTTCCACCAGCCAGAATCTTCCTCTTGCAATACATAGTATTTATTGCTTTTGACAAGCCAGACAGCTGAATTTCCTTCAGGTTCATAGTTGCATTGGGCCACAGCCATATTCAGGACTGACTGGTCTGGTGATAGCACCCGAGGGAGACTTCTGCGCTTCTGCTTTTGAAGACAGAGGAAATAAAATGATAAGGAGATGCAGCCCAGGGTACAGTAAGAAATAACATGACATATACATGATCACTTATATCTTCAACATGTATAATGATATTAGGTAAATTAATCAAAGCTAAGAAGATGGGCACAGTCAAGCAGCTTTTTCCTCATCCATTTAGAAGCACAGCCCAGGTACTGTTGTCCACATTAGTGAGACAGGTGAGAACAGAACTAAGTTTGTAATAACGACACCAGAAGCAATTAACTCTGAGTGGAGGCTGACACTGCTGTAATAAGAAGCTCTCATTACCAGAATTACGGATAGACTTGACTTGTATCAAAAGCCAGCCACCTGCCTAAAGCTGGTACTACTTAATGAACCATCGCAATTCATGTGCTTTGGACACCACATGACCAAATTGTGCTTCACTATAACTCAGTGCAATGATGTCCTGTTGTATCAAGAGACCCCATCACAGTATTATAAAATAACTCTGGGGTTTTTTTTGATCAATAATAATGTTACCATGAAGCACAATAAACATTAGTCAATTGTTACTACCATTCACTGAAAGAAAAAAGCAAGGCTAATTCTAAATCATTCCCTTCCCTTACCATGTTTTATTGACGTTACCCTCCTAAGCATGTTGGATGCAAGGAATCCCACTCCCTGGTGTCTAACTTTCCCTGTGCAGAGTTAACCAAATGTAGGTATGTAACTGTGGGATTCATCTTACCTAGCTTTGACCCATGTCTTCATGTGACATATGACATCCTACAGAAGTGTCTACCTCTCATCACTGATTGTTGAGGAAATCTACACAAATGACTTGGATGAGAAGCCTGGCATTAAATTTAGGTGACATCAATCAAATCATGGGCAAAAGAGCATCTAAAATTAAGGCACTGAAATGCATTTAGAAATCAGGGAAATGTCATAACTGAGAAAATCCAGACATCACAATTCTTTAAGAGCAGAGAAAACTACACTTGAAACACTGACAAAAAAGGATGAGGGAAAATAAGAAAGACTTAAGAGAAAAAGCTTCAAATGCCACCTATCTATTATTGAAAACCACTGCAATGCAACGCCAGGGAAGAATGCCAAGTGTCATGAAGCAGGATGTGATTTCTTTAAATCAATCTAAGTGACCATGGCAATGTATGTTTGCTTATTTCCTCTTTATTGACATTTTTTCACTTAATTTAAACAAGGAGAAAACCAAAGAGCCAAGTGAATGCCTGATTGGGTCCACTAAGCCAGAAGACACACATGATCTCTTCCTGCAAACACACGAAGTCCCAATCTGATCTCACTAAGCTCCAGTGGAGATGCTCATTCTTTAAAGAGATGTCACTCACAGCAGAGTCCTCTTCATTTGACTAGAAGTAGGTCCATTACTCATCAAGTACTACTTCTTGAACCCAATAAGGGTGGTTCCTGTTGGTCATATCTGACTTCAGTGGAAAGGAGCTTATAGCTTCAGGGCCCATGTTAGGCAGAATTCAAATCTTAGACTGCCCATTTGCTTTTGGGAATAGTGACAGAAGTAGAACTGCCTGCAGTTGTCAGAAAGATGGAGAAAATTATAATACAGAGGTTAAACTGTTTTCTCTTTAAAGCATCTAGTGATGTTAGAGCAAGTTGATATTCAGTAAACGTGTTTATAAGCTGATGTGCACCTCTGACATTTGGCCTTGGTAATTTTGGGAGATTAAATTGCTCTTTCTTAATTTCCTGTGTTTTGCTTGTGGAATGATCAGAGTGTCATCCTCTGATGGAGTTTTCATCTTTTTGTGTGAACAGAAGAAATTGCAAATCATTGGCCAAAGTAGATGGTATAAAGAATTATTATCACAGAAATTAGTTTTGCTTTGTCCAACTTGCCAGGGAAAAGAACCAGCCAAAGATGATCACATCAGATTTGCATCCCTTTGGGTTTCACTGCTGGATGTGTATTTGTCTGTTGCAATGTTCTGGATGGACTTCATCTGTAACCTGGTAGAGATTAACGTCCTGATTTGTGTCCATCTATACAGCTTTCCATTTCCAGCACTGGCTGAAAACCCCAGAGCATTTCCTAACAGTAACTGAGTGGATCTTATTATTTCCTTTATGCTGGCAGTGATATTGTTGTGGTTTTCATATTGATGACTGTGCCACTGTCACCTGGAGAGAGCTGTAGGTGACAGTCTGAGACTCAGCTGTGAGGTGCATACAGGGAAGGGTTACTATCTGCAGAACTGCACCATTACCGTAACGCTGGAAGCATGTGCTGGATCACTTCAGTTCCCGTAAAACTCATCCAATACGTAATCATGAGAAGACAGGTGTGTGCACTCAGTGGACTTCTATATCTGATCTGCTGCAGTAGTGATCTGACCTACGTGAACCATTTTCCATTGCAAAGACAGTAGATGCCAGGCACCAGCAGAGGTGAAAGTGTTTCTCAGGTAAGAAGCTCCTGTTCCCTCCTGTTATCAAAGCACAGGGGAATCGCCCACTGGTTCTCATGAAGAGACCTTTGTGCCCACTATTCTTTGTGACGGCTTCACTCTTTAGGAACCAGCTCCTCTGTGGGAGACTAGAAGTATAATGCTGAACAGATAAACGGGATAGAGGCATCAAAGGTGCAGGATGTTGGCATGCAAAAGTAATGCCTCATGGAAAATTTAATGCCTCTGGTCAGTTTTGCCTACGTGCAAAAGTAATGCCTCTGGTCGGTTGGGAAGAAAGCAAGGGAGCAAGACTTGCAGAGGCTGGAGAGGTGAGGGACATGAACTGAGAGGCAGGTGGAAGGAAGGCTGGGGGTACGGTGGTATCTCTGATGACCAGACTGAGTAGATGAAAGGGCAAAGTAAAAATGTGTTGAGAGCGTGCAGAAGTAGCTCTGCAACTAAATATAGACTGTTCCTCACCATGAGAAGTCAGTATTAGCTGCCTTAACCTGATTATATCACATGGCTTGGGAAAATGAAGTCAAGTTTTTCTAACCAGATGTGGCAGTTATTATATCTGCATTTACTGAGCCTGTTTTAGAAGTACCCATCTGAAAACTGTCATGTCCCTGCTTTTTAAATTTCCCTTTCAAAATATCTTCTCTGAACTCAAGTAGATAATAAAAATAAATCATAAAGACCTAGCAGAAGCCAGCATGTTCAGCAGCAGATTTGCATGACTGATGATCTCTCCAGATAGACAAAGCATCTCCTGATGGAAGCCTGGCGAAACAGACCACGGTATTCAAAACAAGTTACGCTGCTGTGTGTTCACAATGCTATTACTTTCAAATCTCATTATCAGAAAAAATGTCAAAAGCTTCTTTGTTCATACCTTCTTTCCAAGGCTTTATTATTACTTTTCTTAGAGCTCCATTTTACAGCTCTTGTGATTTTATCTTCTCTCTTTTGATAATCTATGTGTTTCTTAAAGCCCTGGCTGTTCATCTCAACTGTATACATTAAAATTCCAGCTTTTTTTCTTTTTTCTTTAAGTTACTTTCTGATTAACAAAGAGAAGCTAGGAAATACCTTCTAAAGCTATTTCTAGCTTTAGATCTAAAGATACAGAGCAGAAGATAAATTAAAATAAAGCAGGAATTACAGATTTTAAAATCCCGTAATTTGAAATCCAGTCTGGTTTAATTTGGAGGAGGCTGTGTAACGATGTGTGAATACACAGTCAGACCATATTGTTAGTCCTTTTTTTAAGAGATAAAACCATCATAACTTAAGCCACTTCGGTCTCTTCTATTCTCTTGTTACCTCCTTCCCACCTACAAACATCAATAATTAAACTGGGCAGTAAAACTAATGTCAAAGATACTGCTATAGCCCTTGTATTTGTACAGGAGGAGATAGATGAGGAAATAAGCATAGAAGCAGATCTTCCAGTTTACTTTTATTCATAACCCTGCCAACTGTTGACCTTCTTCATCAAGCAACTGCTGTGCTAGAGGACTCAGGCTGAATCAAGCACAAGTAGTGCTTTTTGGCATCCTGGTGCCCTGCTTGTCTCTTTAGGTCTGTGAAAGCCTGCCTTTCTTAGATGGACAGTAAGGCCCAGTGGGTGCTGGTGGGACACCACGCTCTTGGTTTTCTGTCTAATATAAAGTCAAGATATAGGCAAGAGCACATAAAGAGCTCAGATGCACTTCCCAATTCATCAGCCTAGAGACTACCTCCATAAAATTGGGCTAAACAGAAATTCCTGTACTCCTGACCCAGCCCCAGAGGAGCATAGCTTGGGACTTGCTTGAGATAAATGCAGTACATCCACCATTTCTCACCCACTCAAAGCAGGTATATTTATTCACATCTTCAGTTACAACGTTTTCTCCAAGTACAATGAGCACCATTTTCACTGGGGAGGATGGTGGAGGGGAGTTTTTGGCATCTCTAGGATGACAACCTCCTTCACATTAGAGAGCTAATTTTGATGGTGTTCTGTGATCCCACTGGAAAAAAGTGTATAAAGTAAAAGACATTCCTACAAGATTTGTAGCCAGTACTGCTACCAGCATGTTAAAGTGTCCTCAGTGTGGCTGAGACTTTCTCAGTTTGCCACATGAAGGAGGGACATGAGTCCTTCCTTCTGGTGGACACAAGGAAGATGAAGCTCCACTGCAGATTAGAGGTCTACACCAGCTCCTAGTGAGTGGCTGTTTGCAATTCTCCATCCCATCCCACAGCTCTCCCTACCACCTAGATGGCAGGTCTTTCGCAGTAGCCAGATACTCAAATGTTTCCACGTACCAGAGTTTGAGGGACTGGAGGCAGCGGTTTCACAGATCCAGTTGTACAACACAGAGTCACATCTAGAAGAGAGGAAGAAATAAAGGAAAAAAACACATGAATTTAAGTAAGGCTTTATCTCTTGAGGCTTTCTCACTTGCAGGTCTATACAGTGGCAACAACAGTATCATGACAGTTGACATTTCATTTCCTTGAGG